ATATTGTAATTATATTTATTCTGTATAAAATATTTTTTTATTATTAATTATTTGAATATATTTTAACTAGTACATATGCAAATATTTGTTTCACTATTATCGAAATGTTGTTAATCATAAGCAACTCTACGAATCAAAACTAAGAATTAATATCTAAAAGAAAACCTTTATTAAAAATAAAATATTACAAAGAATTTTAATTCTATTTTAAATCCAGATGTAACAGTATATTGGTTTAATTATGATGTAATTAATATAATTTGTATTATTTTTTTTTTAGAAAACAAAGAAAAGACATGAATGTGCATTGCTTATGGATCATAATGAATTAGGTGAAACTTTATCTGATGTTAATAAGGTAATAAAATCTGAATATGCAAGTCCAGAAATTAGTGATGAAGAAAATGATGTTGACGTATTTTACATTGTTCAAATTTCTTGGAAGAATCAAAGAGTAAGCTTATAATTTAAATATAAAATTTTATTATATATATGTAATGTTTAATTAATAATAAAAATATTTATTTTATATAGCTTTGTGAATTAATTCAAAAACTTGATTGAGAAAATGAAAAAAAAAGAAAGATCTTCAAAGCATCAAAAAAAACATAAAGGAAGTCTATCTACATTGCGCATTAATGTTAATGAATTAGGATAGCTGCACGACGTGGCGGTGTCACGCTAAAACCAGAAACGTACTATTTTTATTTGTTATTTGTTGTTTTATAGTTTTGGGTAAATTTTAATTAATTTTGAATTGTTTTGTTTTTGGTTTTAGTTTTATTATTTATTTTAATATTTGTGCTGAATTGTTATATATTTGATTTTGTTATTTGATAGTTTGTGTTAATATATTATGAAGATGCATGGAATTTTGTTATGTTTCATTATCTTATTGTTATTTATTGGTGTGTTTTATTCGGATAAAGCGTTTTGAAGTTTTTAGATATTTAATATTGTTTTAAATTTTTATGTTTAGGATAGGGTGATTTTTTATTTTATTTTTGTATGTTTTGTCATGTTGGTTTATTTGTTTGGCCACTCATTTAAGTTTATAGTCCTTTGTGTACATTCTTCGAGTCATTTGAGTTCGGTTTGTAATGCATATGGAGGTTGTATGTCAAGTACGGATTCTTTGTAGGGCTGTAGGATTAATAAATCTTCTAATTTTTGTGCTCTTGAGAGCATTACATAGGTGCTATTGTGCATGTTACCTTCTGTTAGATCTACAATTATTTTTTGTAGTGTTTGTCCTTGGCATTTGTAATCTGTGAATGTGAAAGCTGGAGTTAGTTGAAATCGTTGAAATTTTTTTTTGATTTTGGTTCCATCATGACTCCAGATGGTACATGTACAACCTCATTTTATTGGATAAATTGGTATGTTGTTTGGTTGAAGATTTTGAAATGTATAAGGTGATTTGTTCATAAGTTCAATTATTACATATTTTGGAGAAGTATTTAATATTAGTATGTTTTTGTGGAGTAACGAAAGGTCGATTGAGTTTTTATTGTATATTATTTGGCAGAGAATTCCTTGAGTACCATTTGCTAAGTTGTCATTTACGTTAATATTGACTGTTATAATTACTTTCATGTTAATTGATAGCGATAGAATTCCACAGAAGGCATTGTCTTTAGTGTCGAGCATTGATAAGAATCTTAGCCGATTTTTTCCAGTAAGTGGCAGTTTGTTATATGAATCTTCTGAGCAGGAATATATTAAGAGTTGTTGATTTTAATGTGCATGTTCTATTGTTGTGTTTAAGTTTAATAGAACTCATGTGTTGTTTCTTGTTACTAGGAATATTACATTTTTACATTCTTGATTGTTTATACAGTTATCGCCGAGAATTCTTGATCTTAAAGTGATTTGTTGATCTTCTGTTAGATATCCTTCTCGCATATTTTTAAGGATTGTTGCATAATATGGGTCATTTATTTGACACATTAGTTGGTGTAAATGTATTGCATGTTGTATATTAAGCCAGAGGTTTGTTCCTATTGTGTTTGTAACTGTATATGTATTAATTATTGGTATGTTGGTGTTTCGTTTTCGTTTTTTAGGTTGTGTAGTTGATGTTCCAATACTATTTATTTTGTCAAGCATGTATAGTGCTGGATCTAGAACTGGTGGTAGTTGCATGAAGTCTTCTGTGAATAGTATGTTTAATTTAGAAAATGGTGTATCATTGTCTGTTGCTTTTATATTTTTTATAAAGGTGTGAAATCATACTAGTAGATTTTTACCGATCATGGAAATTTCATCTATTATTATATATTCTATGTTTGTCCAAAGTTTTTGTAGGTTTTTTAGTTGTTCTTTAGTTAACTTGTAATTTTCATCATTAAAACTTAGTCCACATGCAGAGTGGATTGTTATTCCATTAATATTTGTAGCTGCTATTCCCGTAGGTGCTAGGATAAGAATAGTATCTCATTGAGAAGTATGCTCAAAATATGAGCATATTGCTTGGATTACTTTGGTTTTACCAGTTCTGCCCACTTCATATAGATAGAGAAGTAATTGTGACAGTTTTTTGGGATTTATTGGTTGGTTTCTTTGGCGATGGTTACATACTAAGTAATAGGCTTTTTTTTGTTCTTGATTTAGGTCTGATGCATATTTTTTTAAAGAAGATATTTTATTTTGTAGAGTGTTCGTATTGGAAAATACATTATCTGAGGTAGTTCTATTTGTGTGATCAGAATTTATGTATTGTTTATTTGTTTCTTTATTAGCATTTATTTGCCATGTTGTTTTTCGAGCTATGATTGCAGTTTGCTATATGTTTAATAGTTCTTCATCGTAATTTTCACTCTGGCGTATGCCATTTTTGTTAATTTCTCTAATTGTTTCATTCTGATTAGTTATTATTTTGTTATTATTTTTAAGAAATCTTCCACATAGTTGGAAAATATTTATTATTGAGTCAATAACATTAATATCTTTTAATCCTGATCTAATTATATTTTCGGGATCAAAATTTTCATAATTCATATCATTATAGGTAACATAATTATCTGATAATATTAGTTCTTCTTCAGCAGCGTATCCAGGCACTATATGTTCTATACGGCAAATTTTGCTGATATTGGGTTGTATTTTGCAGTTTGTCTTAGTTTATGATCAAGTTCTGATTCTTCAGTGCATTGATGTAATAATTCAATGTTTGAGATAATATAATTTATTTGTTTGGATAAAGAGGGATTATTTAAAAATGCTTCACATGCTTCTTTCCAAGAGGTATAATTTTCTATTAAATCATAAACTGTTTCCTATGGTTTAAATAATATGAGAATACTTTGGCTATAATATTCTTTTTCTTTGTTATCATTTCTTCTTGGTATTCCTTTACCATGTAGTATTACGGTTCTTTCTGTTCCATGTTTTCTTTGCATTTGGATGTAAGTCTTGCATTGTGGATGTGTTTTATCGGATGTTGTATTTGAATCATTTCTATAAAAATAAAATCTGTCAACATGAGTATTTTTAGTTCTTAAATGCTGGTCAGTTATTATTGAGAGTTCACGTGAATTGAGAGGTATTTTTTTTATTGTTGCTGCATAGTCATAAAGGCAAATTCCTTTTAGTGCTTGTTCTCTGAATTGATAGTCAAGTCGGAGGTTTATTGCTATTAGTTTGCCTTAAAATGAAGATATTATAAAAGATTCTTGTGTTGAATATGGTTCTTCTGTTTCATCTGATTTATTATTGTTTATATTTATATTTTCATTATATTTAGTTAATTTTTCTGAGAAGTAATTGATAAAGGTAGGTAGATGTATAGAGCTGAATTTTTTCAGAGTATAATGATCTGGAATGTTTAAAAGATATGCCGAAACTTGCGGACCCGTAAGTTCTGTTTGTCCTGCAATTTTGTTTAGACATGTCGTTATTAATTTTTTAGATTTATTTATAAGGTTGATGGTGGTATCATCCGAATTTTGTTTTAAAAAATTTTCTAAAGTTGCTGCACATATTAAGAATGAACTATGTGTATCTGCGTCAGACTTAGTAATGTAGTCTGTTATGTAATAAACATAGACTAGGGCAAGTTTTCATGTTAAAATAAATTTTATATCATTATTACCCCTGCTTGCAGCTGTTATGTATGGGTTATGGTTATTAATCAATGTATTAGTACGTTGTACAGCTATGATATTTTGTTCCAGGAGAATTATTCGTGATAGATTTACCAATTCTTTAGGAAAGTCAAAACGACAAGTTTTGTTTAAACCACATTTATATTTTTACATGTTTTGTTGCAATGGTAATAGAGAGTGTGTTTTGCAATTGCAAGCAGATCCAGGCATAGATTTTCTTCAAAGTCTGGTAATTCCAGATCTGGAATTGGTTTGAACGAGGGATGCATTCTTTTTTCTATTAAAGTTTTTAGTCTCAAGTATTCAGTTTCTAGCATTTCATCTGTTATAGCTTCATTTTTTGTAAGATAGCTTATGTCTTCTCGTACTATGTCACTAATAAAATTTAATAAGCGTTGTGAAAATTCACTATCACTTTTAAGTTTTTCATGCAGGGTAATCGGGTCTAATATACCACAAAGCCAAATTATCATATGGCAATGGGGTGTACCACAATCTTGATACTCTACAACTCTATAATAATTTTTTATTATTCCAAATACGCCTCCATTTTTTCTGTTGTAACCTATTATTGTGATATAATTGTTTGTATAATAACATTAAAATATTTTGCTACAGCTGAAGGATCAAGATGTGCAAGTCAGGCCCTTTCATTAGCTTTTGGAAAATTTTCTGGTAAAAGCTTATCAGGATCTATTTCGTTTCCAGCATACATCATCACAATGGGACTATGAAGATCAGCTGGATTAATTGTTATGAATATAGAAGGTGCACCATCTTGTATAATTGTTGCACATATTTCGTTATGCATTCTAAAACATGATTGGTATGATGCCATCAATTTTGATCCTGTGGAATTAATATTTTTAAGTAATTCAAGTATATTTGGATTAGTTATAGGTTCTTTTTTTTGTATCTGTTCAACTGCCAATTTTATGTCATTTGGTTTGAGTATGTTTATTAAGTTAGCTGATTTTTCAAAGTTATTATTTTTTGTTAAATTATATGATTCTGATGATACTTCACGCCTTTGTAAGATATTAAAGGTGACAAATGAGAATGATCTGTGTTGACGAAATTTAGGGTCATGATAGCACATCAAATGATTTATATATTCTTTAAAAAAAATATATTGTGAATGACCTATGTGACCTCCTACACCAAATGGATAAAGAGTAGGGAAGGCAGCAGGAAGAAGTTTTGGATCTTCATATTTATTTATTGGTGTATTTTCATGAGATACACAAATTAATTTCGTTTGAGTTGTTTTAGATGTAGTATTTGAAGCATTATCTAGTGGTTTATTCTTGTACTGTAAATTTGACTTTTCGATAAGTTTTTGTAAAGAACTTAAAGTAAGTTCTTCTTCCATTACTGGAATATCATTTACATATAGTATACTTGATGTTCTAAAGTTATATAAATTGCCTATAGTATTATTTTTGATAAATTGATCTGTTTTATCTTTATTATTCAAAGTAATATTTTCAGTTTCATTTTCACTATTCGATTCATCATATTCTATTGGATCGTGGATATAACCAGTATAGTGTTCTATGTTTTGCATTTCAAGGTCAATAACAGTAGTTGTCAATAGTAAAGGTTCTGGAATTTCTCCTTTGGGTAAGTCATTTAGGATTTTGCTGTTAATTTCTATATATTCTTTAAATAGCTTGTTATGGCTGAAAAGCCATTGAAGTGCATTTGTCACTTTACTTTTTCGTATCTGAAGGATTTTTTTTAGATAATTTTTGGAAGGAGTTTTTTTTTCAATAAAAACTAATTTCAAGTGATCGCAAAGTTTAAACAGTGGTAGAGGTAATATCTTCGCTATTAAGCTTGGATTTTGCGATAAGGTAATAACATGTCCTCTGAGTTTATGGTGAGTATGTTTTTTATCTGTAATTTGTATGAGATTCATGCATATGTATCCTGGAGATATGATAAGTTGTTCTGGGATAGTTAATTCTTGTAGATAGGGATTGGAATCGGTTTAGTCGACTAAAAATTTTATATAATAAACTACTATGTTTAGTCGACTAATTAGTCGACTAAACATAGTGGTCGACTAAACTGATTTCTATCCCTACTTGTAGACACATCGGTGTAGTTCCAATCCACATATTATTTGATAAAGATAGTGGAGGTGTTATATTTTTTTCTAGATATCTGTAACAAACATTGCATACTCGTATTGAAAGTATGTTATTTTTATTTTGGTGATCAGAAGTATTTATAAATCCTGCTTGATCAAGTAATATTTTTATATTGGTGTTGTCAATATATGGTTCATTATAATGGAAGTTAATTTCAAAGAATAGAGCGATAAGTTCATTCAGTGCTTTAAGTAAATTTAAATTTACGTCTTTTATAGAGACTTTTTTATAATTTTTCCAGTCATTTAGTTTTGAACAGATAGCACATGATAACTCTCGTAATTCATTTAAATTGGTATTATTGTGAAATTCCTTTAAAGTTTCATTTGATAGTTTTGGATTAATTAGTTGTGGCCAATTTGTGTATTCTTTGATTTTTTGTTCAAACTCTTCATTGATTTCTAATATGTGCCAGGGCAAACCAGCACATTTTGCCCAATTATCTCTAGCAATGTGAGCTGAAGTTTTTTTTTGTTTTCTTAAGTTTTTTTGATATTTACGGTTTTTTCTTCTTCTAGTTTCTCCTCGGGTTTCAGTGAAGTTTATTGGAGGTTTTATAGAATGCATATATTTTTTTGATATATGAAGTTTGTAAAATTTAATTTTCATTATGTTCTATTTATATGTTATTTATTGTATTATTTATTATATAAAGTAGTCATCAGATTTGTATTCAGTTTTAAATTAATGTATAGTTTTTTCATTTATTCTTTATGGACGTATCATGTGATTTTTCCTCATCATAAGCTGTTAGATTATTTCAGCATTTTTGTTTTAATGAATATTAACATTTTTGATTTTCTTTTTGTTCTTATGATTCATTTTTTCATTCTTATGTTTATTTTTGTTGCGTTTATATTACGTTATTCTTGGCATTTTTTTTTTTTTAACTCTATATAAAATTTAACTTTTAATTAATTCTGTATTAATTATTAGTATTTTAGAATATTTATTTACAATTTATTTGAGATTTTCCTTAAATATTAATCAGATGCAAGTACGATTTTAATATTAAGTTATAATCGGTGATGTGTGATGCATATGATTTTTTAATATAAGTATGATTTAATTTTTGGGAATAATCATGATTTTAATATATGTAATTAGCAATGCGCAATGTGTATGATTTTTAAATATAAGTATATTTTGATTTTAAGTTATTAATCTAAATTCAAAGAGTATTATCTAACATTATTATAATGTAATTATTATTAATCAAATTCGTGTAATTATGTGTCATAACATACTATTAGAATTACGTTATGGTATTTTAATTTATATGAGCTAAGGGAGTTTGTATTGTTATATTTGATAATGCGTAATGCATATGATTTTTTTAATATAAGTATGATCTAATTTCAAGAAATAATCATGATTTTAATATATGTAATTAGTGATGCGCAATGAGTATGATTTTTTATTACATAAGTTTGATCTAATTTCAGATTATTAATCTATGTTCAAAGAGTATTATCTGATACTATTATAATGCCATTATTATTAATTTAACTTGTATTGATTGTATGTCATAACCTGCTATCAAAATTATGTTATTGTATTATTGCATCAGTTATTCGTCATAACATATTACTCAAATTAAGATAATATTTTTTAAAATTTATGTGAATTAATTATTTTATAACTAAAAATGTTTTTGTAGGCTTTATTTATTTTTTAGAAATTTAATTTATGTTCGTTAAGGAAGGTTGTTTTGTCATGTATATAACCATTTTACTATTATGTACATCCGTATTATTTTAAGGTTAATTTTTATGAGAGATAATTATAGTTATTATTAGATTTTTTTTTTTTTTTTTTTTTTTTTTAGATTGTTAATTATACGCGAGTTTATTAATTTTTTCTACTATTTTATTACTAAAGTATTATAAAATTGCAAGTACATATTCTGTTATTCGATTAGTTAGTGGAACCAATTAGAAATGGTGAAAATATTAGTAAATTTATTTAATGCATATTAGTAAATTCATTAAATGCATAGCTATAATATGATCATATTAAGTCATATTGATAATGTACATGTGATTTAATTTCAGAAGATAATCTTGATTACATCATAATGGCGCGAGATAAATATTCTTTAAAATCTTGTTAACGCATATATGATTTAAATTTTAGAGTAATTTTGTAATATTATTAATATAAATTAGTTTTGAGAGAGTAATCATCACTATTATATCATAGTATAGGTAATTTCATTGTAGTCATATGATTGTCTAATGGGTGATTTTATTTCAAAATAAATTTTTCGCTAATATAGTTTAATCAATTTAATAACAAGTATTAATTTATATATATATATAGCTTTTTAAATAACAATAAAAGTTTATAAATATTCATTAAACATTTGTTTTTTTATCGATTATGAGCATAATTATTAGTTCGTCATGGTAATCATGACTTGTTAGATTTTTAGAAGTAAACTTTAACTATTATTAATAATGAGATTTTATTTATCATTTATAATATTTAGTCAAAGTTTATTTATGTTGAAGATTTATTTTTTTTTATATTTGTACAGTATCGGTATTATCATTATTTAATTTATTGTTCTCTGATATAATTCGTTTGCTAAAAAAAAAATATGAATGTTCGTTTTATTTATATTTATATATATTTGTATATATCAATTTCTTAGTTACAAATATTTTACAATATAAAAGTTTAATTTTTTATAAATTTTGCTAAATTTATATATTTATTTATTTTCATTTATATTTTTAATTATTTTAGCTCGACTTCTCGTATTATGTACTACAGGTTGTGCCATCTTTTCTTTATCTTTGTTTACCTTTCCTCGATTATGCATAGAGTATTTGCTTTCTTCAACAATATTGATATCATCATTGTATTCATTACTTTCATTTGTATATTTTTTACTACATTCAGCACTTTGTTCATAAAGATCATCATCATCTTCCGCATCTTCCACTCTCGTGTGTTTTGAGATGTTAAGATTATCAGTAGTTAAATCAATTGTATGTTTATTTGTTTTAGTTGAAGTTTCTTCAGTCGATTTTTCATTAGCATTTTGATGCACATTTAAGAGTTTTGTTCGAACAGTTCTGTATATCTCCGTTGTAGTTTGAGAATTATTTAAACTAGAAATTTTTCTTTTAGCCGTAAAATTGATATCAATAAGGAAGATATCAGCAGCGTAAGCATATACTTCCTTATCTATAATTTCTACGTGTCTACAATAAAAGGTACCATTTCATTCGGATGAACAGAATTCATTAAGTGTTTAAATCAGTTGTTATTGTACGGAAATACTATCTTAACAATAAAATTATAATGCTGGACAGCATAATCATTTACCAATATTTTGAATACCGCATACTCATCATCAACTTCTTTTGGTATATCTTGCACAACACCAACTAATGAAGTTTTCAATGAGCATCTGTTTGAGCCAAGATCCCTTCTGATCGTTAAATGCGTCGAAGAAGTAGCTGTCATCTAAACATATCAAATTTTAATATTATAATTATCATAATATTTTATTTAAATACATCTGCACCTACTTTCAGTCTTAATTCGTTATTGTGAATTCCAGGTATGACTTTCCACTTACACTATAATACTCATTTTTCACAAAAACTGATTGAGTATTAGGATCTCTTTCCTCTTCATTTATCAGGACAAAAAGAACAATTTCCATCTCTCGATCTTCACTCTCAATCGGATATACACCAATAGCCCATACAATGGTTAATTTTGTCTCTTCTTTGTCTGTCTGGCAAACTTGATTTATTTTTATGATCGTATTAACACAGCAAGGCATTATAAAGTGTAATAAAGTGTAATCTGTTAATAGTACGAAAAAATCTTTTAGGTCTTTTTATTTATTTTTTTTACAATAGTAATATATTGTATTAGATGTATTTATCATTAAACTACATTCATATAAGTCTATAGTAACGCATTCAATCACTTATTCGTAATATATTCATATAAGTAATGATAACGCATTTAATCACTTATTCATAATAAAGCGCATACACACATTTTTCTTTATTATTGATATTACATGTCATCATTCATAATACAACGTATTATTTATTTATAATGAAATGTATACATAAGTTTTTATTATTATTGACGTCAAATATCTTACTTGTAAAATCTAAATTTTATTTATTTTTCAGGAAATATTATTTTATTTAACTAATTTATTGTACGTTCATATTTTCATAATTATTACATATACTCAGAGAACACATCGATTTCCACATTTACATCATTTCTTGTATATTCATTTATACTCATAACCTATTTTAAAAAATTAATACAAAATTATATAATTATGAATATGATATCAAATGTATGATCTAATAAATCGTAATTACGAATATGATATCAAATGTATGATCTAATAAATTGTAATTAAAACGAACCTTAACTATAATTATCAAGTTTTTTATTTTTTTCATTTTTTTTTTTTTAGCATCCCTTTTTATGAACACTGTGAGGTGTAATCTTAATTGTTTTATGCATATGAGAATTCTAATACCTAATCGTCATTATGATCGTAACTTCAATCGATTTACATATACAGGAGCTTTATTCCAACTTATCGTCATCATCATGACATATGAACTAGCTTACTATTTTATTTCAGGTTTACCATCAAATTCTGAATTTTTACATCACAAAAAAACTACTAAAGTTAAGCGCGCAAAAGTATCATGCTTTGTGTTTCATCGCACAATCCAATTAGCTTTAAAATTCATCTCCCAATCAGCTTTGAGATTTTGCCTTCGTTTTAGATGCCAGTAAAACCATACACTAACGTTCCTGGTACATCATGAAAAATTTGTCGAACTAAAAAACTATTTACTTGCTGTACCTAATTCAGATGATGTTGATGACGGTATCTGGCCAGCTTGGGCCTTACCAAATGATTATAATAATACTGAACTTAATTCTGAACCTGATGATTAGGCTATTTCTTAGGTAATAAAAATATTATATTAAAAACTATTTTAATACGCAGTATTATTTAAAAATTATTAA